AAAAAAGAAATAGTCAGTTTTTAATAAATTAGCAAAACTGTATAAAATTAATAACTGAGTATTTATATTTAAAGTTTTATTTATTCATATTTTAATAAAAATACTTACCTGATATATTATGTTAATTGTGTAAAATATAAGTGGATTATAATAGGTTACATAAATACTTGATAGACTTGATGATAGATGTCGCTTAGCTATAAAAATTAAACGTTTTATAAATTTGTAACAACCAAAGAATTTGTGAATGTTATAAAAATTTGATCTTTAAATGGTTATAAAAAAAAAAGTTCTATGTATTTTTAATATTTTCCAACTGCTGTTATATCAACTTATGRGGTGCCTTGCATTAAATTTTCAATTTTTTTGTTTCAATGAATAAAATTGAATCGACATAAACAGAATACAAATTAAAAAAACGGAAAATTTCAAATGTTTATAAATAACTTTAAAATAGTTAAAATATTTTGAAAATGTTATCAAGTACCTATAAGAATTGATAAAATAAACGTTTGGTAAAAATTTCAAGTTTCTACAATTATTCGTTTATAAATAACAACACAATAAGAATATAGGTACGATAGAAATTGAGTGAATATCTAATATTGTAATTCAAATGCTCATAAAAATTTAATTTGAATTTCTGGAAGACATTTTTTATTTTATAAAAGTAGACAAATTCATATGGAATCTTGTATTGAATTCTCAAATAAGATATATTTTTATGATTTTCCAACTCAAAATAATTTGCAAATTTTCGTGATTTTTTCGTATTTTGTCAAAATTCTTACTGTCATATATAACAAAAAAAACTAAAAAGATTGAAAATTTCAAATGTCTATAAATAACTTAAAAAGCTTTGAAAATTATCAAGTATAGAAAATTYCAGTATAAACATTCAGTGAATATTTCATGTGTCTATTGTAATTTTTTTTAGAGTTACACCAATATCAAAATTCTATTTTCTCAAAATTGATTTTGCGTAAAAATTCCCGATTTTCCTTAATTTTTTTTCCTGTTTTTTTAGGTGCTTTTGTAAACTATAACCTCCCCAATGCAGCAAATAGATTCACTTTCCACCTGGAAAAGCTACTGATGTTGAAAATCGAAGTATTATTTCGACAACTTTTCGTGTACACTGCAGACGCACAAAAAAAAAACTAAATAAAAAACACACATCATTGTAWAATCAATACATTATTTTAAATAATTATTTTACTTAATAATGTTTAAGTCCATGCAAGTGGTTATTATTAATTTATTTTCAGGCAAAAATGTATAGTGTAATAATTCAAATATTTTCATTATTTTTGGGCCATAGCTCATTAAACATCTCAATGTACATATTTACCTACCTTATTAAATTGTAAATGGGGGACGAGGTGGCCGAGTGGTCTACCGCGTCGGCTGTGGCTCAGCCGGACCGGGTCGATCCTCGACCATCGGGCGGCATTTTGCCCACTCCGGGGCATGGCAGAAACCTACGGGTGTCCCAATAGAAATTCTGCCAAAACTCTCACCCACGTGTAAAACCAACCTACAGTTCCATAAAAACCTACAATACTACCCCCTTCCCAATGACCTTAGTTGACGCGGGATAATTAAAAAAAAAAAAATGTGTGAATATATATAAGTGATATAATACGTTTAAAATTAAGTAGTTTAAATATTTTGAAAATTGAATTAATTATGTATGTAGTTCAGTGGCGTACGCAGAATTCTCGAATGGGGGGGGGGTTACCATATTTTATGTACATATAAAAAAAAAAATGTTCATACAATTGTATTCTTTATAGACATATTAAGGACATGCACAATTAAATTTTTTAAAAATGTATATTTTATGATCTAAAAACACTAACCTATTAATTTATAACTTAATATTAATTSGTCTCGRTGATTTTGATAATTCATCTATAGTACAGCGTCGGTTGAGATTTCAATATCCCGATGAATATTTAGCATTGCTAATCCATTTAAGCGAGATT